GCTATGCTGAACACAATCCCAAAGTAAACTAGTTTCATTTGCATGCTCTTGGCCCATATCCCTCCAAACCCTTCCTATTCATTAACCTGTCCAAGTGTCTTTTAAACATTGTAATTGTACTCATATCCACCATCACTCAAGGATGAAGATTGCACAAAAATGTAATAAAATGCCAAAAGGCAGCAGGTAATGTGTAGTAACAGGTGCTTTTGTATTACACTAGGGGAATAATTTATAACTTTGTCTTTAGACAGTACTGCCCATTAAAATATCAAATACCAGGTCAACCAACTCAGTGTTAGCAGATTGTATTACACCACAACTTTCAAATAATAGTTAACCTGACTACACACATAATAAAATGAGACTATTGCTATGTCCAAATTCATTCAGAAAATTGTAATACACTAAAACAAAGAACTGCAGTTGCTAGAAATCTGAAACAAATTGCTGGAGAAACTCAAGTGTGGCAGCATCAGTGAGGAGAAAACAGAGTTACAGTTTCAGGTCCAGTGATACTACTTCTATATTCACAAATCACCTGTCTGAAGGCTTCAAAAGAACTGGTTTCTGTATATTTTGTCAATTGATACTTGCAATACAACGCAATTCCGTAATCACGTGCCACAATCATACTAAAACAGATCATATCCAGGCATTAATGTAGTCTTGCTCACTTTCAGATCAACCAAAATTCATCCTTCGATAACTTGTAGTCCCGGTCTAAGATAAAGAGCAACACTGACAACGGACAACTGGTTGGTCCAAAGACACATTTTGCAAAAATTTATGATGTGCATTAAGTAATTGCTAATGACATAATTGTGGCAATTGAAATGAGTAGTTCATAAGACCAAAGGTACAACAAATGTTCTCAGGGTTTCCAACTAAGTGACTATTAGTAATTTATTGAGCAGGTAGAATAAAGATAGACTGTTGCTGACCAGTTTTTCAGAATAGCGCATGTCATTAACAGCACCCACCTCAATTATCCATGTCCACATTTGGGAATTGCGATAATAAGACAACCTGGGGTAATTGATAGATCAGGCACTCAATGGCTGAACCAAAGGATTGCAGTCTCGCAAAAAGTCACTATTCTGGACACATTTGCTTACAGCAGTACCTCTTGCATTCCTCAATAATTACTAATAGTTACAAGGTTCAGGTCTAATCTCAATAAGGTCTGACTGAGCTGATTCCATCATATGGAATCTTTGTAGTTCCATTTAGAGAGTGACACTTAAAAACTTTTAAACCAGCAGCTATATCTTGTGTGTGATTTCCTTATTGGTTGTCTTCACTCAACTTACGTTATAGAAGAAGCAGGTAATTGGTTGACTATCTTCTCTACTGAAAACTTTTTTTAGACCGTGTATTCCATCCTGAAGAGTCAACAGCCACTGTTTACGATGAAGTCGCACACTCCATTGTGCGCTCTATTACTGAGGGCTACAATGGTGAGTATAGTTGACAATCAATCAATGGTACAATGAAACTAGAATTGTCTTTTTCCTTGGTTATCTAGCTTTTGATTTTTTTTTAAGTTTTAAATCCAATATGGAAATATAACCATTTCATTTGATTTAAGTTCTGGATAATATACCGTTTATTGTAAATTCAAGCATGGTGATAACCGTGAGCTTGTTGGATTCTTTTAAAGGGATTTTTAATAACCATTTATTTTGTAGTCCAGATGTTGTACACCAGGTGGTTTGGTCCTTGTCCTTCAATAGGTGGAACAAATAAGTAAGGCTTTTAGAGATTCGGGCATATAAGTTTCAAAACAATAACTTAGCATGTTTCAATGTTGTTCAGTGTTAAAGTTAAATTGACATTTTGTTTAACAGGCACCATATTTGCATATGGGCAGACTTCTTCTGGAAAGACTTACACAATGATGGGAAATGCAGTATCTTCTGGTCTTATTCCTCTGGCAATCTGTAATTTGTTCAATGTCATTAATAATGTAAGTAACTTTTTTCATGGCATTGAATATTCTAATTTATGAAAATCTGCATGAACATATAACTTGGAATTATTGTTTCTACTTGGATTTGTGGAAAACAATTTATACGATGGAGAAAGCCTGTTAGAAAGGAAAGATCTTCTCACTTCCTGCATTGGAACAAAAATCATGATTCTCCAGAACCATTTTGTATTATTTCCTTGAGTATTCTTCCATGGTGCATTGTAACATAAACCTGTGATACTGGAAATTGCTGGAATTGCCTGAACTTGTTATTTGCTTCTAATTTTAGCATGTTAAATTTCATGTTTTTCAGCTGTTCTGTCTGTGCAATTTTGATCAACATTCTCAATCACCTTCTTCCATTAGGTTACCTGGAGAATGCTCCATGGTTAGTGGAAGTATCCACTGAATGCAAAATTATCTACAAAGCTGCTTGTATATCAGTAAATGATTGAGTTCTTCTGTCAGTCATTGATAGAACTAGCTATTGTGGGCAACTCTGCTTCAAAGCAAACTGTTTCAAAGGTGATCAAAACAAAAACAGCAAGTATAATTTGAATCTAGTATGAGGAAATGCTAACAATTTGACATCCTAAAAGAAAAAGTAGGGTGAGGATTGACATTTGTATTGCCAATGCAAATACAAGTAGGCTCTAATTTGTTAATTGCAGTTTCTGGGCACTTGATAGAACAGTCCCAAGTTTCAGCTGAGAAGAAACTTTCTCTTTAATAGAAGGTATTTGTCAAAAGTAGGTATTTGAAATGTATGAAATACCACTTAATGCTATGTGAAACTAACTGCCGTATCTGTTACAATAGTGATTCATGTTTCAAAAGGTAGACAAACACTGTGCCCTGTACACCCGTGTGTAAGTCACTATTTCAAAATTTGCGGATTAATCAACATCTAACATAATAAACTGAGAGGAGGATGGCAGTAGATTTGAAGAGGATGTCGACTGATGGAACGGTTGAGCATTGATGGGAAGGACAATATAAATGAAAGATTACGTTTCTCTGCCGGAACACAGAAACGAGAGAGTATATGTTATGTTGATGTTAGGGCAGTTTGCAAAAGTGGATTACTTTTTTTTTTAAATGACACTGGTCAGGTCTTCAATGGAGAGTTGTATCCAATTCTGAACACTATGCTTAGGGAAGAGAATGAAAGTTTTAGAACAGATGCAGGGAATAGTTGCAGTGATGAGGAACTTCAATTCTGTGGGTGGTTTGAGGGCTACCATTATTTTGCTTCAAGAAGGGAAAGGTGAGAGGAGATTTGATAGGGGTGTTCAAAGTCTTGAGTCCAGACGGTAGATAAACTATTTCCATTGGCTGAAGCTTTGAGAACCAAAGGACACAAGTCATTCAAGTGGATGGAAAAACATTTTATGCAACAAGTGATTATGACCAGGAGCGTGCTGCATGAACTGGAGTGCAGAAGGAGATTACTTGGTCCCTTGGGTCTGGACATGAATTGTGCTGGGACTGGTTTTCTAGCCAAACATATCACTAGGGAAGAAGGCTTTAAAGTAAACAACTGGGTGGATGGTCATGAAGGATCAAGCTTGGGTAGATGAAACAGGACTTGTTGGAAGGGACAGAGGAGAAAGAAACCTAAAAATACAACAGCAGTCAAGACTAGCTGTTGTTAAAACTAACAAAATAGTGGTACTAAAGCTATGAATCTGAATGCTCATAGCATTCATAACAAAGGAAATGAATTCATAACGCTCATTGAAGTAAATAAATGATCTGACAACCATTATGGAAATATAGCTGCATGAAGGGTTACTTCTGGTATATTAAGGAGTATATGACGTTCAATAATCGGGTGATGAGATAACAAGGATGGCATCAATATGAGAGTTAGAGATGACTTTAGTTCAGGTGATTAGGGTGTAAAATTATTTGCATAGAGATGAGGAATAATAGGGAAAGAAATCACTTGTGGGAATGGTCTATAGGCCCCCTAACAGTAAACACTGTAGCACGAAGTATGCAAAAAAAATTCTATGCTCATAATAGAGATAGTAATAATTTTTTTTTTCCACTTGTGTACATGAAAATCAGATTGGCAATGGTAGCCTCGATGCTTTTCAGACAGTCTTTTGGAACCACACATTCTGGAAGCAACCAGGCTGCACGTGGATATA